CTTTTGTTCGTAAAGCAAAAAATCAAAGTAAATCGACTGTAATCGTCAATGAAATGTATTTAATACCTAAACCCTTCAAAAAAGGCAATTAGAGCTGGCCCCCAAACATCACTATGAATGAGTTTAAGGGGTTGAGTGGCTCTAGATTGTGAGACAGGAAAACTATTCCTATGTAACTTATAATTACCTAACTTGCAAGCATCACAAAAAGACAATGAGGAGGCAGGCTCGATGAATTTTACATGGATTTGAGACAATTTTTTGAAGAGCCTCAAAATGAGGTTGGCCTAATCGATTATGCCAATGGGATGTATTAGCAGTAGTGCTACTAGCTTGAAGGGTAAATAATACATTAGGCAACATGAGATGATCAAGATTATCATTAGTATGAGCATGTAATAAACCAGAAGATAACACAATACAATATCAAAAGATAACTAATGAGTGCTTGGAAGTGCACTCATACTTAGTGATTTTAAGGGTATTTTGTGAGGGAATTAGGTTTAATTGGTTAATTTTACTTAATTTCTATATCTCTTTTGTTTTCTAGAATCACTAGTATGTTTTGTGAATTTTTAGGTGTTTAGGTGTTGAAAAATGAGGATTTCAAGTATGGACATTGAAGATGAAAGAATCATAAGTGTGTAGGAACAAATGGTTTGAGAATTGGAGCTCAAACGAAGAAGTTATGGATTTTTGAATATTGTTCACCGCAGTAGAACTATTCATGCACCGCAGTAGAACTATTCCCACGCCGCAGCATAAAATTGAAAAATGGATAGAAACTTCATGCCGTAGCGCCAATAAATCATGCCAGGAAGCACTTCGTGAATTTTATGCTTGGGAGTTTTTCTGCCAGAATGTGCTACACTAAAATAAGCATAACTTGAGCTATACAACTCCGATTGACCTGATTTTGGTGGTGTTGTAAGGATAAGAGATGGAGATACAACTTTAGATTTTTTATTGTGATCCATTTTGACCTGGAATAGTTTTAAAAATTGATCCAAAAGTTACGTTAGACAAGCAGACGTGGTTTCTGGAACATGCTTCAATGGTTCTACAATAACTTGAGCTGTAAATCTCATATTTGGATGATTCTTGAAGCGTTGGAAAGTTTATTTTAATAACTACAATTAATATGTTCACAACATTTCCAGATTCAGAAGCTATCATGTTCTAGTTTGGAGACCTTTGCGCAGCTTGTTTGAAGGATCCTAATTTCATTCGGATTCTCTTATTCTATTTCGTCTAGAATTGAATTTTATTCTCCTATTTTGTCTAGGATTTTTCCCCATCATTTCCCACAACCCTAGCACTATAAAAGGATGTCTTTAGGTATTTTTAGGCAGGACTTTTACTTCAACTTGGAGAGAATTGGAGGCAAGGAGAAGAGATCTACCTAGCGTTTCATTTTTTTCTCTTGTACTTCATGTTTTTGAAGGGTTTGAGTTTGATTTCCGCATGATCACGTGTAACTAAATACTTTACTAGGGATCCAACATAGCCTAATAAGAAGGTTTTATGTCTTTATTAATTATATTTGTTTTATCAATCCATTTCAATTCTAGATTTATTCATTATCCTTTATTCAATCTTTAATTGATGTTATTGCTTGATCACCTTTAATATTAATTAATTGATTATGTGAGACAAGGTTAGACTACACATCCTAGCTAATCTTAATTAGCTCATGTGAATGAATGATTAGTATTTTGTGCATACGCCTTGACAGAATATGAATTGGTTTATGATTTCTTGAATGATTAGTATTTGTGCATACGCCCTGACAGATGTGCCTTTATTCATGATTTCGAGTGTTCTTGTATTTAATGGGTTTTTAATCATTAGGCTAGACTATACGTGCTAGCTAGTCTTGTTTTAAAGATACTAGGTTAATCTTGAACGCCTTACAATAATACCTTAATTATGTGAGTGCAAACCCTAGAAATTGGATTGAAATAACAATAGTTTGATAGTTAACATAAAACTAGATTATCATGGTGAAATTAGATACCTAGGTTTTAGTTCATTGGTTCTTAAATTAGTTTAGTATTTGTTCTCTGTTAGTTTGTTTAGTATTAGTTATTTTTACTCTAAGTTGGTTACCTCATCAATTCTTTAGATTTATTTAAGTTTATTTGTTTTAATTAAGGCACGGTTTATTAGGATTAATTGAGTGCTTACAAATCTATGTGGGATCGAACCTTGCATGTGCACACTATATTACAGTTGTGATTCGTATACTTGCGAGGATTAAAATTGTTCATCAATAACACAGGACAATCATGATGATTATTGACAACAATGTCATAAGAGTTGTCAACTAAAGTACAATGAGTCTGATCAAAAAAGTTTTTATTCATTGAATCATAATTACAACTAGAGATATTATCATTACAACTAGAGATGTTATCCATACAACGTGTTTGTGGACTGAAATCAAGAGTACCCAATTTACACTTATTAGCAGAAATTTGCAACTTGCATTCAAGAGTAATACTAGAGTCTAAAGTTTTATTATCCAGTACAGAATGAAAAACTTGAGGAGGTAAACTATTGGGAACTATCTGCTCAATGCATCTAGGTGAATTATGAACAAGGGTAGGAGAGGATGACAAATTAGAAGGGATGTGCAACTAATACAAGCCAGCTTTAAGACCTCCCTGTAGAAGCACTATTCTGGTGTCTTTGTCCTTAACAAGACAACAATCAGAATTAAATTCTACTATCACATTATTGTCTTTTGTACATTTTGAGATACTAATAAGGTTCTTAGTTATTCTAGGTGACAATCCTATTTTTCATAGTGATTTTGTATTGAATTTCAATAGGATATAGGATACTTCTCATATAATTTGGGCCATAATTGCTACATAACTCTATTAATTTTACTTTGTAGGCCTAAACGATGATTCTGAGCATAAATTACATAACTTGAGATTTTCAACTCGGAATGACCTGAATTCAGAAGCTATGAAATGCTAAGAAGTAGAGAAACAACTTTCATGTTTGGGTTTATTCCTTATTCTGATTGAAAGATGGTGACTTGGCTTGAAGTTGTGAACAACTAGTTGCGAACTGAAGAAAAATGTCTTTGAACATGCATCCGTATTTGTACCATAACATGAGCTGTAGACTTCCTATTGGGATAATTCTTAAATGATTAGAAAGATAAGACATAGAGCTACAATTTTTGTGTTTTGGTCGTGATCCAGTTCAGCATAGAAAATGGTTACAAATTGAGCAAAAAGTTACGTTAGTGCATGAAAGACAAGTAGATTTGTTATCATGTATTTTGAATTTAAGTGTGGCTTTTTACCATAATGCCTTCACCACTTTCATACCAAAAAGAGAGGTCCTTACCAAGAGGAGGGGAGGCTAGGGTTTTGAAAGAAAAGACATCAAAGAGGAGGAGGAGATCAAAGGAAAGAGGCTAGCACATTCATTCGGGAGAAGTTGGCGCGATACTTTTCTAGAGATGAATTCTTCAAGATTTCAGTTTTTGTTTTCTCTCACTCTATTTTTATGCATCAGTTTGGAATTGTTATGATGATGAGTTCAAAACTGATGTTGATGTTATCACTTTGATTATGGAGTAGATTGTTATTGTTAAGGGGTAGATTCTACCAAACCATGTTGACTTGATTTTCAATTTTATTAAAGCATTCAGGAATTTATTGTTCTACAAGAATCTGTGTCATTTGGTTAATGCTTTTGGATATGATGTTTCTTTAATTATTTAGGGCTTTTATTGAATGATGAACCAGGCGGTGAAGTTTGATTAGAAATCTTTTGATTAGGGTTTCATTGTGTTCAACTGCTTTTTTTTTTTTTTTTTTTTTTTTTTTTTTTATGTGATGATAAACCGGGCAGTGAAATCACTTTAGGTCATTAAAATAGCATATATCATATATTGAGTAGGATACTCGGGAGAGTCTTATGAGGTTTATATGGCCAGTTTAGGTTTTAAGCGGGAGCAGAACCTAACCGTTAATGAATTTCACATTTGTGTTAAATTAAGGGATTTAGCAATCTTTAGATCAATAAATTTCTTGAATCTGATTTTTATAGCATGTCTGTCAACATTGGTTTAGGCAGAATCTAAACTCTTAACATTTTTATCATATAGTGATATTTGTCTTTGTTATTTAATTGTTTTAATTTCTAGCAATTCTTGTTTTTATTTTAAATTCACATCATCAATTTTGTTATCTCAAATAACAATTAAGATTAGTCAATTTATTTGTTTGTTTAGCATTTAGTCCTCGTGGGATTCGACACTTTTCGTTCATCACTTTATTACTTGTCGAATAGTGCACTTGTTAGCGTACGAAATGGTCACAACAAGTTTTTGGCCCCGTTGCCGGGGATTGAAAAATTTGACATACATTTACGTTGACTTGTCTTGTTACTTTGAGAATTTTAATTTTTGTTTATTCTTGTATTTCAAGTTTTTCTCCCATGGTGCATGACCTGCTCTAGCAAAGAAGAACTTGAAAAGTTTGATTCTGAGATTGAGCGCACGTTACACCAATTGAGGAGACCGAGAAGAACACAAGTTAAGGCAATGGAAGAGATTAACAATGAAGGTGGAGGAAATAATGTAGTAGCAACCGACATAGAAGTGGCGAGACCACTTAGAGAATATGCTATGCCATCTTTAAATGGAGCAACATCAAGCATTACAAGGCCAACCCTTCAAGCCAATACTTTTGAAATCAAACCAGCGATAATTCAAATGATTCAGCATTCAGTGCAGTTTGGTGGTTTGACACGAGAGGATTCGAACTCTTATATAGCCAATTTCCTGGAAATTTGCGATACCTTCAAGCACAATGGAGCTTCAGATGACGCCATTCACCTACGACTTTTCCCATTCTCTCTAAGGGACAAGATGAAGAGTTGGTTACTTTCTTTGCCTGCAGGATCCATCACTACATGGGATGTTATGGCACAAAAATTTCTTGGTAAGTATTTTCCTCCTGTAAAAACTGCTAAGTTACGTAACGAAATTACAATGTTTTTGCAGGCTGATACAGAATCACTATATGAGGTGTGGGAGCGGTTCAATTATTTATTACGCAAGTGCCCACATCATGGATTGCCAATATGGCTATAGGTATAGACACTTATTAATGGTTTAACTAACTCTACTTGGAACATGTTAGATGCAGTAGCAAAGGGCACAGTTATGAAGAAGACTCCTGAAAAAGCATATGAATTGGTTGAAGAAATGGCTTCTAGTAGTTGTGAATGGGCTACCGATAGATCAGCTGTGAGGAGACCTATAGGAATTCATAATGTTGATGCTATTACGTCTCTAGTAGTGCAAATGGAGGCTTTGAGTAAGAAGATAGATAACATGCATGTTTCTATAGTGAAGATTCAGACTCTTGTTTGTGACTATTGTGAGGGAGGCCACCCAAATCATGAATTTCAGGTAAGTGATTCTTTTGCACCCTCTTCTGAGCAAGCTAATTTTGTTTCTAATTTTCACAGGCAACAAAACAACCCATACAGTAACACGTACAACCCAGGATGGAGGAATCACCCAAATTTCTCATGGAACCAAAATGCTGCTAAACCATCACTACTAGGGTTCCAACCACCTCAAGAGAAAAAATCGAATCTGGAGGATATGATGGACAAATTTCTGAGCACTATTGAATCGAGGTTTCAAAACCAAGAAGCTTCCATTAGGAATTTGGAGGTTCAAGTGGGACAACTTGCCAATTTAGTCTCAAAAAGGACACAAGGTGCGTTACCAAGCAACACAGAGAAAAACCCAAAAGAACATGCAAAGGCTATCATGTTGAGACATGGAAAACAATTAGAAGAACCCAAGCGAGTTGAAGGGTTAAATGAACTTAAAAAAGAGCAGGCTGAAAAGACAGAGAAAAAAGAAGAGCCAAAATTTTGTGATGCAACCAGCCCTGATAAAGCTTGCAATTCAGTTGGTAAAACTTATGTAAAGAGAAAATATGTTCCTCCTCTTCCTTATCCTCAAAAGCTGAAAAAAGAAAAGCTTGATAAGTAGTTTTCAAAATTTTTAGATATTTTTAAAAAATTGCAAATTAACATTCCATTTGCAGAAGCTTTGTCGTAAATGCCTAGTTATGAAAAAATTTTGAAGGAGATCTTGTCGAATAAGAGGAAGATGGAAGAGCATGGGATAGTTAGATTAACTGAAGAGTGCAGTGTAATCTTACAGAATAAACTACCCCCGAAATTAAAAGATCTAGGGAGATTCACTATACCTTGTACTATTGATGATTTTTGCTTTGATAAAGTGTTATGTGACCTTGGTGCAAGTGTGAATTTAATGCCATATTCTATTTTCAGGAAACTAGGATTAGGAGAAGCAAAGGAAACTGCTGTCTCTTTACAGTTGGCAGATCGTTCAATCAAGAGATGATGAGGAATAATTAAAGATGTGTTAATGAAGGTGGACAAATTCATCTTTTCCGTGGATTTTATTGTGCTAGGGATGAAAGAAGATCAAGAAGTTCCCCTTATCTTAGGAATACCATTCTTAGCCACAGGGAAGACTTTAATTGACGTTCAACAAAAGAAGTTAATTTTGAGAGTTAACGATGAGCAAGTGGTTTTTGGTATTTACAAAACAATGCAACATCCTTCTGATGATTTCACATGTTTTCAGGTTGATATTGTTGAAAATTTTCAGGAAGATTTATTAACAGATCTGTTAGAGAGATGTATCATGCAAGCAAGGACTATTGACGATGAGGATCCATGCATAAAAGAGAGTGTAGAACAATTGGAGGAAGGTTTAGCCGTGAGTAAAGAAGATGAACAACCATAAGAGCTTAACCAAACAAAACCAGAGTCAAAACCTTTTGTGGAGAAGTCTCCAAAAATTGAATTGAAAACTCTGCCTTCTCATTTAAAATATGCTTTCCTAGAAGGAAATTCTTCTTTGCCTGTTATAATTTCTTCTTCTTTAACAGGTGAGATGGGAACACAACTTTTAGAGGTTTTACAGAAGCATAAGAGAGCGTTAGGATGGACAATAGCAGACATCAAGGGAATCAGTCCATCGATTTGCATGCATAAAATTCTCATGGAGGAGAATTTCAAGCCAACAGTTCAACCGCAGAGACGTCTAAATCCTGTGATGCGGGAAGTGGTAAAGAAAGAAGTAATTAAATTACTTGATGTAGGTATTATCTACCCTATCTCTGATAGTGCTTGGGTTAGTCCAGTACATGTAGTACCAAAGAAAGGTGGGGTAACAGTAGTGAAAAATGAAAAAAATGAATTAATTCCCACTAGAACTGTGACTGGGTGGCATGTATGTATTGACTAAAGGAAATTAAATGATGCCACTAGGAAAGACCACTTCCCATTACCTTTTATTAACCAAATGTTAGAGAGGTTGGCAGGTCATAGGTTTTATTGTTTTTTGAATGGATACTTGGGATATAACCAGATCCCAATTGCACCAAAGGACCAAGACAAAACGACTTTTACTTGCCCTTATGGTACTTTCGCATATAGAAGGATGCCCTTTGGTCTTTGCAATGAACCAGCCACATTTCAATGTTGCATGATGACAATTTTTTCAGATATGACTGAAAAATTTTTAGAAATTTTTATGGATGACTTTACTTTGTTTGGTCTAACCTTTGAAGATTGCCTTTATCATTTGTCTTTAGTGTTGCAGAGATGCGAGGAGACGAACCTTGTGCCTAATTGGGAAAAATGTCAGTTTATGGTTCAAGAAGGAATAGTTCTAGGTCATAAAATTTCCTCAAGAGGGATTGAAGTCAACAAAGCAAAGGTGGATGTTATTGCAAATTTACCGCCACCTACCTCAGTCAAAGCTGTTAGGAGTTTTCTTGGCCACGCTGGATTTTACAGGAGATTTATAAAATATTTCTGTAACATTGCAAAAGCTCTTTTTAATCTCCTTGTGAAAGATGTGAAATTTGACTTTTCTAATGACTGGCTGCAGGCATTTAATACTTTAAAGGAAATGCTCATTACTACACCTATTGTTGTAGCACCAGATTGGAGTATTCCTTTTGAGATGATGTGCGATGCAAGTGATACCGCTGTTGGGGTTGTGCTTGGCCAACGAAAGGACAAAGTTTTTCCCACAATTTACTATGCTAGCCGCACACTTTCGGGAGCTCAATTGAATTATGCCACAACGGAGAAAGAACTTTTAGCTATAGTTTTTGCTTTTGATAAATTTTGTTCTTATCTCATTGGTACTAAGATGGTTGTTTTTACTGATCATGTAGCTCTGAAGTATTTGCTTGAAAAGAAAGAGGATAAGCCAAGATTGTTGCGGTGTATTCTTCTCCTTCAAGAATTTGATTTGGAGATAAAAGACAAAAAGGGAATAGAAAATCCAGTGGCTGACCATCTCTCACGACTTGAACAATTTATGGATGAGGACATGGATATCAATGAGGAATTCCCGAATGAGAAAATTTTTGTTATTTCTTCCTCTGTAGAACCTCCTTGGTTTGCTGACTTTGCGAATTTTCTTATAGGAAATTGGATCCCTAATGACTTCACATACCATCAAAAGAAGAAATTTTTCTCGGATGTCAAGCACTACTTGTGGGAAGATCCACATCTATACAAAATTTGTGCAGACCAAGTTATTTGAAGATGTGTGCCAAAAGAGGAATTCAATAACATATTGCACCATTGTCATGATAGAGAGGCAGGAGGACATTTTGGTGCAAATAGAACGACAGCTAAAGTACTACAATCAGGTTTTTATTGGCCAACACTTTTTAGAGAGCCACATGCTTATGTTGCTGCTTGTGATAGGTGTCAAAGAAGTGGTAATATCTCAATAAAATATGAAATGCCCTTGACTAATATTATTGTTTGTGAATTATTTGATGTTTGGGGAATAGATTTTATGGGACCATTACCTTCCTCTTGTTCTAATAAGTACATCCTAGTTGTCGTAGATTATGTCTCTAAATGGGTAGAAGTAATTGCAACACCCACAAATGATGCTAGGATAGTGGTAAAATTTTTGAGGAAAAATATCTTCACTCGTTTTGGAACTCTTAGGGCAATAATTAGTGATGGGGGAACACATTTTTGTAATCGTCAATTTGAATCCTTGTTAGGAAAATATGGGATTACCTATAAGGTAAGCACCCCTTATAACGCACAGACAAGTGATCAGGTAGAGGTTTCGAATAGGGAATTAAAGAGAATTTTAGAGAAGACTGTTCAAGCCTCTAGGAAAGATTGGTCCCTTAAATTAGATGACGCTTTATGGGCATACAAGATAGCTTTTAAGACTCCAATAGGAATGTCACCTTATAAGCTAGTATTTGGAAAAGCATGGCATCTACCTGTGGAACTAGAGCATAAAGCATATTGGGCTACTAAATTCTTGAATTTTGACATGCAAGTTGTAGGTGAGAAAAGAGTATTGCAGGTGAATGAGTTAGAAGAATTTTGTCATGTAGCATATGAGAATGCAAAAATCTATAAGGAGAGAACAAAGAAATGGCATGATAAGCACATCCTAAGGCGTGAGTTTCATCCTGGTCAACAAGTTCTGCTCTATAATAGTCGACTTCGCTTATTCCCAGGAAAATTGAAATCTCGTTGGACAGGACCCTTCAGGGTTGTGAGTGTGTCTTCGTTTGGTGCTGTGGAAATGCAAACAAAATTCTCAGGAGACATTTAAAGTGAATGGTCAGTGGTTGAAGCCGTATTTCGAGGGTGGTATTGATAGAAATACTACCACCATCACATTACGCGATCCATGATCTGAAGAGTCTAGCTAAAGACTATAACTTAAAGAGCTTCTTCGGAGTCAACCCAAATGTTTTACTTTATTTTCTTTTTGATTTTTGTTTATGTATTTTTTGATTTTAGTCTTTTTTTTTTTTTCTTTTCGTTTGTTTATTTTTCTTTGTGTTTTCTTTCTCTGTCCAAGTTCGAATCCAAGTTTGGAGGTGACAATTTGGGAAACTTGGTCACATCTTCTAGAACTTAGGGGAGTGTCTCTATACCCTTTGTATTTTTCTCTTTTTCTTTAGAACATTGAGGACACTGTTCATTCTAAGTTTGGGGGTGGATTTCTCATGGTTTCCCAA